CTCTTAGGCTGGGATTTTCAAAGGATCCCAAGGGATTTAGAGGCCTAGCACCCAAATTCCGCTGGTATTTGGATGACTGACTCCTTTAAACTCCATTGAAAAGCCCAGACTTAGTCTCTATGGCCCACTAAATCTGTTGTCAGACAACTGTGACTGCCAATCTTGGTGGTGATTTCTGTGATTTGTAGAGATTTCTGTGACCATAGGGAATGGAATGTGACCACCATACTTGTTTCACATGAGCCACTGAACTGCCATTGGACAGCAACAGCATTAGACCTGAGCATTTCTGTACAGTAGCACTGAGCTGGAGTAGCATTCTTGTTCTTGGCATGCCAACTAGCACTCAGTGTCCCACCTTGTTCCATATCAAAGCTCTGCTATCATATGAAGTACAACTTTCACATGTCAGGCATGCAGCCACAAACACATGATTCACTTTATTTAGGGCTTATCAGAATGCCAAGGCAGCTGGACCTGAGGTTTTAGGGCAGGATCCAAAACCCAGTGAAATCAGGAGTCTTTCTGTTGAATTCCATGGGCATGGGATCAGACCCATAGTCAGGATTCCCTTCTTGCTCAATTCAATTTCATAAAGGAGCAGTATTAAAAATTGATGACATGAGATGGCCCTAAAATATAATCTCTGCAGTGGACAGGGCTACCAGAAACTTAAGGCTTTAGCATTTCACCTTTAAGACCAGGATTCACAATGGGTTAGGGTAACCACTGCATGAATTTGATGGTCTAGACCTCATCGTATCTGTCTGAAGTGCAAAAACCACTTTACTATCGGGTCTAACTCATAAGATGTTCAATAATGGAAGTCTACTATCAGAATACCAGGGTTGTTGCACATTATCTTTGAAGTGAATAAGCAGAGCAGGAAATGTAAGGTATTATCGTGGCTGGATAGTACAGTGATAGGCACAGTAGAAATGACTAGACCAGGGGTCAACAACCTTCAGTACGTGGCCCATCAGGGTAATCCGAAGGTGGCCTGCAAGACATTTTGTTTACCTTGGCCATCTGGAGACACAGCCCCACACAGCTCCCGGTGGCTGCAGTTCACTGTTCGCTGTTACCCAGATTTAGGCACTTAAGTCCCATTTGTGGGTGTCACTACAATCCACAAAACTCCTGTTCAGCTGCTGCCTAACTCTATAGATGCCTATTTTTGCAGTAAAAGTTCCCTAGGTTCTGCCTGTGGGCATGTGCACTGCTGCCTCCCTCAAGGAGTCCAGACGCCTGCCTCCTGTTTAGTCCCCAGTGCAAGCCACAAACCACTAGGCTGGAGGTTCCAAACTGTGAGGCATGCATGACAAGGTTATCAGGGACTTGCGAGATCCTGACAGGACCGCATTGAGAGGTGGGGGTCAGGAGTGGACTTTGCTGGGCAGGGGAAGTGGATGTGGCTCTGTTTGGGCCAGGACTAGGCTCTCTGCCTCTCCTGCTTCCCAACTGCTACAGCTGCAGTCACCATCAAGCAGCAGTTACTCTCCTCTGCTGGGGAGGCTGTGAGCAGGGAGTGGAAGGCAGCAACCCAAAAGTACTAACTGACCCCTGTGCCAGGCAGAGCCCCCTCCTGATTCCAGCCCTTCAGCGCAGCCCCAGGGCGCAGAGCCCCATCTGCTTCCCCTGCCAGACAGAACCTATGCAGGGCAAGCAGACAGGACCATGCTGAAGGGTCAGGAGCGGGCTCTGTCTGCCAGAAGGGCCACTACTCACAGGGTGCAGCCTTCTGCTCTCCTCCTGACCCCAGCCCTTCAGCATGGGCCCCATTTGCTTCCCCTGTGTGAGGGGAGGGCAGGAATAAGCCAGCTCTCGGCACCTGAGATTGCCCAACCGCTGCGGGCAGCAAAGTCTTCCTCTGCTGCTACGTGATGAGTATCCATCCCCTGCCCCCTTACAAAGGCACGGGGGGGGGGGGGTGCACATGGACATGAATCTCCAAAGGGGAGATCAGCAAAAAAAAACTTTGGAAACCTCTGCACTAGGCTATGGGATATTCTGATGTGGGCTCCCTCAATCTCTCTGATTGAAGTTGTTCCACATTGATTAAATATTAATTGAGCCACAGAGAATCACTCTATAGCGTTGTGGTTAATACACTGACCAGAGAGGTGTCAGTTCCCTGTTCAAACGCCTTCTCCTCCTTAGGCAGAGGGGGAATTTGAATCCTGGGGTCTTCTACATCCAGGTAAGTACCCAAGCCAGTGGGCTAAAAGTTATAAGTAAACCAGGCCTCCTCCTGTACCCAACTGTTCTGTGTGGAGTTAGGCCACATATCTTACCTGAGGGATCCAATCTGGTAGGTTTGCTCAGAGGCTGCCTATCTTCCCTCTTCCAGGTCATGGAGACAGGTACCTCCCTGCAGGCTGCACTTAGGCGCGTATCTCTGAGAGTGGGGTGGGACTTAGGACACACCCCTCTCATCAGCACATCTAGTGAAATGGAGCTACTGAGAGTGCTGGCTTTTGTGGATCACAGCCTAACGGTATGTCTACACTTAAAATGCCTCAGCGGCACAGCTGCGCTGCTCTAGCGCTTCAGTGTAGAGGTAGACACTACCTACACTGACAGGAGGGGTTCTTCCATCGACCTAGCACTGTCTACTCCGTGGGTTAGGTCAGCTAGGATGACCAGATGTCCCAATTTTATAGGGACAGTCTCAATTTTTGGGTCTTTTTCTTATATAGGCTCCTATTACCCCCCACCCCCGTCCCGATTTTTCACACTTGCTGTCTGGTCACCCTAAGGTCAGCATAGCTACATCTCTCAAGGGTGTGGGGTTTTTTTCCACACACCTGAGAAGTGTAGCTATACCAATGTAAATTTTCAATGTAGATCAGGCCTCAGACTTCTATCTCTCACCATTCATTGTACAGGGAGTTTAGTTGCCTAACTCAGGATTTGTGGATCACAGTGTTGTTCCTGTGATCTCCCAGGTGCCTAAGTTAGGTATTGTGATGCTCAGCATCATAGTACGTAAATCCCTTTGTGGATCCAGACCTTAACCTTCCTGTGCCTCAGTTTCTCCTCAGTAAAATTGGGATAATGATATTTTTGTTCCTTTATGAATAACTTGGAGAGCTTCAGATGAAGTATGCTATAAAAGAGCCAGGTATTATTACTAGGAACTATACTGTTCTTCAAAATATTAGTTTTATAGCAATTTCTAATTTATTTAATATTTTAAACTACCAGCTATAATATGGTCTTGCTGGCAAAAACCTAGCACCTCTCAACATTTGTTTATTTAATAAAAATATTTTAAAATATATTAATACTGTACTAAAACCTGACCGTTAAAAAAAACACTTTATTTTATTTCTCTTCTGCCACAATTGACAGAGTAAATTGTGTTGAACATTTAAGGAGCTGCAGTGCGCCACACAGTCACTGATGGTTTTATGTGAAAAAGCGTGCAGGTATTTTGGTCAAAATCTAAAACAAGTCCTTCACAGAAACCATATGTACTCAGCAAAATGAGACTGCAACACAATGAACACTTATATTTGCAGAGTGAAATCACATAGCTGAGTGTGGCAACATTGTGTCACTTTCATAATGACTTATATTCACACACATTCAAATGGAATATGAATAATGTTTTCAACTTACATAGCATTGACTAATTAATGTAACTAATTTAGCCTCCCAACATCTTTGAAATAGGCAAATATTATAATCTCTATTTTTCAGAGTGGTAAACTGAAGCATATAGCCTAAGGGTGGGATTTTCAAAATGGCTTACGTGAAGCAGGCACACAAGTCACACTGGCTTTTCTTTCAAAATCACCAAAATGACTTGTTGAAGAATTAGCCAGAGTTAAAACTGGCAAAATTACTCAGGAGTCTTGATTAGACACCCTACCTACTGGTCTGACCTTCTCTAGCATGCTAATATTACAGTTTTGTCAAAACCCCCTTTATTGCATTACATGTATTTGAAAAACACCAACAAACTCCCCTACCACTGACACTGGAACCAAATACTTTGAACTGGCTTTAGAAAATGAGAACCATGTGATTCACTTGTGTCTTGGAAGTAGTGCCCCACATTACCAGTGATCTGTATGAATCAGGTTTACGCAGTATGTTCCTCCAGCGCTAATGCCACAATATCAGCTGTTGCTTTTACTTTCACAGTTGTCTACTTGTAAATCTTTGTCATAATAATGGAGCCGTTCCTGGTCCTTCATGCCTTATGCAAAATTCTCATTGTAGAGTTTTACCAACATATGGAGACAGAATTATTGTTTTCCAGGACGAGCCAGGCTTCATTAAAATTATTTTCATTTTACACTTGAATTTTTAAACACGCACACACATTTCTAGAATTATTTCCCCCCTAGTGTTCGGAGTTCCCCACAAGCTGGTTTAATCAAACAACCTTTAGGTGCATGTTTAAAGCAAGTCCAAAAGAAAAAGACATATCTGCATCCTGTGAATTGCTTCATCTTGTACCTATGCTGTGTTATTCAGTGTTTTATCAAGGGAGCATGTGTTGAATTTGATTCCAAATCAACGCATAAACAGCTGTTGCCAGAGATTAAAAATATTTGTTCTGACTGATTTTTTTTTAATTTAAAATCCTTTTATCTAAAAAATTGTGTAAAATCAATAAATATTACCAGCTGAACTGAGTTTGGAGTCTTTTGAAATTTCCAGTAAAGTCCATTCATTTTTGTCCTGCTATGTTATTAAGTTTGTATATTAAAATGTTGAGTGTGCCTGGTGGAAAATATGATTCCATTGCTTTTTAATGCAACACCCTGCATCTTCAGTTCTATTAAACTATTAAATGCCACTACGTCAATCAACTCCTATGGCCCCAGTACAGCTGTCAGCCCCACAAAGCTCACACTTCCGCACTATACCTATAAATTCCTTTCAGTAAAGCAGTAAGCCACAAATAATCCCCAGCAGAGAAAAATTTATTCCATAGGTCCCTATCAGCCAATAGACCCACCAGAACCCTTTGTGACTACACCTACCGGATTAGGTTGTCTTGTCTTGTTTGGCTTGATGAAGAATCTGAACTGGAGGGCTCCTTGCACTCTTTAAATATGCCTCAGTGGTCACCAGCATTGGCTCTATAAGAAGGGGGGGAGGGAAACGGACAGAGGGGGAAAGGGACGTGAGCAATGCTACTGCTATCAGCAGGCTGAAAATAACTTCTGACAAAGGCCTTGGATTTTTTTCCCCTAACGCCAGTTGTGAGTAAGGTGGAGAACAATGCATCTCTTCAGATTACACCCAGAATGTAATTTCTAAATGCAGTTTTATAGATCACAAATAAATTCATTGAGGGGACACTCGAGCTGAAACTGGAGTAACGTGAAGTATGATTCAGTCTTTAAAAATAAAATTACAGACTGAAATCAGCAAACTCCTTAAATATAGGTCATAAAGCAAAGGCCACTGAAATGGTGGAGGAATGGTCAGACACCTATTCACACTGGTGAAAAGAATCTATCCAAATAACTAGAACTAAACATGAAGACAATGAACACTGAGAGTTGAAACTCTACTGTTACAGCATTAAGCCAAATGGAATTTCATTAATCTAGTAGCTAGACAACCTTTAGTCCCTGACGAAAGTTTTTAAAAAATCAGGGATCCGTTCTTTTCACCCATTTTTATTTTCCAGGACACACCTTTTAGTCTAAGAATCCTCAAATGCTTTTACAAACATTTGCTAAGCCTCACAACACCACTGTGACATGTATTATTATAGCCTTTTTACAAATGAATAAACTGAAGCAGAAAGAACTTAAGGATAAAACTTTTGAACGTGGCAAAGTGATTTAGAAACTAAGTCCCATTTTCAAAACAGAGTTGGGCACTTAGAAGCCAATGTCTTATTGGAAGTCTCTGGGACTTAAGCTTCCTACCTGGAATTTTCAAAGCAGCCTAAGTGAGTTGTTGTCTAAATCTCAGTGGGATTTAGGTGCCTAATTCCTTTGATAATTGCAGTCTTGAGTACCTAAGTCACTTTTTAAAATGAGCTTTAGTCTTCTTCAGTACATCTGCAAATTTTGCCCTAAATCTTGCTCTGCCTTGACTGACCCACTTACCATTATATAAATGGGTACTGTATGTCCTCAGCACTCTGGAAAGTTATGAGTAGGGTTGCCAAGTGTCCGGTTTTCAGTCAGAACACCTGGTCAAAAAGGCACAGTGGGGCAGGCTTCTTACCCGACTCCGCATGGCTCCCAGGAAGCAGTTACATGTCCCTCCAGCTCTTAGGTACAGCCAAGGGGGCGTGTATGCTGTGCCAACCTCGAGGGCTGGCTCCGCAGCTCCCATTGACCAGGAACTGCAGCCAAAGCCCTCACCCCCCCACACTCCAAACCCCTCAGCCCCAGCCCGGAGCCCCCTCCTTCACCCCAAACCCCTCATCTCCAGCCCCAACCCAGAGCCCCCACCAGAGCCCTCACCCCCGCCCTAGCCCAGAGCGCCCTCCTGAACTCTGAATCCCACATTTCTAGCCCCACCCCGGAGCCTGCACTCCCAGCTGGAGCCCACACCCCACCCCCTGCCCCAGCCCGATGAGCCAGGGTGGGGGAAAGCAAGTGATGAAGGGAGAGGGAATGGAGTGAATGGGGGACGGGCCCTTGAAAACGGGGCAGGGCAGTAGCGGAGCCTTGGGGATGGGGCGGGGGAAGGGTGTTCGGTTTTCTGCTATTGGAAAGTTGGCAACCCTAGTTATGAGCCCTTTGTCATGTCTGGCTGTGTGCCCAAAAATGGAGGCACACATAGTTAATGGCCACTTTTGAATACTTTGCCTGAGGGCCAGATTTCCATCTTTAGGTATTTAGGTGCCTAAAGAGGTAGGTAGAACACTAGTGGGACTTGAGTGCATAATGGGAGTTAGGCACCTAACCTGCTTGACCCTCAGTGGGAGATAGGCACCTAACTGCTTTCTGTGCATTTGTAAATCCCACAATGCATAAGTTAGGTAACCAGGCTCCAGTACAGTGCCTGGGGAGGTGTCTCAGAATGGGGTTCACAAAAATCAACATGCTGAGCCAGGAGCTGCCTAAGCTAGCCAGTAGGCAATGCTGAGGAAAATTAGGCATTTTGGCTTGAGGCTAAAGAGGCTGCCTATCTCCACTTGAGATTCGCAACCATGAACCTTCCTCTCCTGGAGTTATGCAGTTAATTCTGGTGAGTCTTTTTTCAAGAAAAACCCTTCCTCTTACAACTGTTACAGGCTATACCACTTTGTATATATAGTCATGGGACCAGAAAAAGAGAGACTGACTGTCTAACCCAGTAGTTATCAACCCGGGGTACATGTGCCCCTGGGGTACTTCCAGGGGGTCCATCAGCTCATCTAGATATTTGCCTAGTTTAAAAAAAAAACTTACAGAAAAAGCACCAACAAAGTCAGTACAAACTAAAATTTCATATGACTTGCTTATGCTGCTCCATATACACTGAAATGTAAGTACAAGATTATATTCCAATTGATTTATTTTATAATTATATGGCATAAATAAGGAAGTAAACAATTTTTCAGCTATAGTGTGCTGTGCCACTTTTGTATTTTTATGTCTGATTGTGTAAGCAAGTAGTTTTTAAGTGAGGTGAAACTTGGGGGTAATCAGGAGATCTTCAATGATCTTCAATGATCTAAATATTTAAAAAGGAGTCCTACAAAAAGTGGAATCTAGGTCAAATTACAAAGGATGAATATAAACAAATAACATAGGTATGTATGGACAAAATTAGAAAAACCAAGGCACAAAATCAGACTCCTGAAAGGGGGACAGTAGTCTCAAAAAGTTGAGAGCCACTGGTCTAGCCCAGTGGTCAGGGCCCTCCCCTAAGAATCAGGAAACCCAAGTTCAAGTCAGTGTTCCAATGATTAATATTTATACGTAGTGGAACAGCTTCACCAGGAGACTGAGCCATCCACCCCAGAACACTCTGCTAGGAACACAGGTCTTTCACAGCGTGGGGAAATGTTCTTACCTTGAAGCTAAAGATTGTAAGTAAGTGTATCTTCCTCCTCTGGCTGTTTTGTGTGGGTGTAGACATGTTCAGAGCACATCTACAAGATAAGGCCCCACAGTCAAAAGATGTAGTGGATCACCTAGTGCCTGAATCCCACTGAGGCTTAAGTATGAATTACGTATTGAGCGGCTGGGCAGTGTAAGGAGTTAGGCAGCTGTGCACATGATAGTAAATAAACACAACTATGACATAGTTGGCATCACAGAGACCTGGTAGGATAATACGTATGACTGGAATATCGGTATAGAAGGATACAGCTTGCTCAGGAAAGACCGGCAGGGAAAAAAGGGAGGAGGTGTTGCCTTATATATTAAAAATGTATACACTTGGACTGAGATTGAGATGGAAATAGGAGACAGACTTGTTGAAAGGGGTAAGGATAAAAGGGGTAAAAAACAAGGGTATATAGTAGGGGTCTTCTACAGACCACCTAACCAGGAACAAGAGGTGGATGAGACTTTTTTTAAACAGCTAACAAAATCATCCAAAGCACAGGACTTCATGGTGATGGGGGACTTCAACTACCCAGACATCTGTTGGGAAAATAACACAGCAGGACACAGATTATCCAATAAATTCTTGGAATGTACTGGGGGAAAAAATTCTTTCAGAAGGTGGAGACCGCTGCAAGGGGAGAGGCTGTTCTAGATTTGATTTTGACAAATAGGGAGGAACTGGTTGAAAATTTGAAAGTGGAAGGCAACTTGGGTGAAAGTAATCATGAAATGATAGAGTTCATGATTCTAAGGAATGGTAGGAGGGAGAACAGCAAAATAAAGAAAATGGATTTCAAGAAGGCAGACTTTAGCAAACTCAGGGAGTTGGTAGGTGAGATCCCATTGGAAGCAAGTCTAAGGGTAAAAGCAATAGAAGATGGTTGGCAGTTTTTCAAAGAGACATTATTAAGGGCACTGTGTAGGAAAGATAGGAAGTATGGCAAAAGACCACCCTGGCTTAACCAGGAGATCTTCAATGATCTTCAATGATCTTCAAATTACAAAGGATGAATATAAACAAATAACACAGGTATGTAGGGACAAAATTAGAAAAACCAAGGCACAAAATGAGATCAAACTAGTCAGAGACATAAAGGGTAACAAGAAAACATTCTACAAATACATCAGAAGCAAGAGGAAGACCCAGGAAAGGGTAGACCCTTACTCAACGAGGGGGGAAGAATAATAACAAAAAATGTTGAAATGGCAGAGGTGCTTAATGACTTCGTTTCAGTTTTCACCAAGCAGGTTGGTGGTGATTGCATGTCTAATGCATAGGCGCCGACTCCGTGGGTGCTCCAGAGCTGGAGCACCAATGGGGAAAAATTAGTGGGTGATTTGCACCCACTGGCAGCCGAGCTCTCCTCACCCCCCACCCTCCTCCTCCCCTGGGCATGCCGTGTCCCTGCTCCTCTGCCTACCTCCCAGCGTTTCTCACCTGGCTGCTGCCAAACAGCTGTTTGGCAGTGTTAGCAGGCTCCGGGAGGGTGAGGAGGAGCGGGAATGTGGCGCACTCAGGGGAGGAGGTGCAGAAGAGGCGGGGCCGGGGTGGGGATTTGGGGAAGGAGTTGGAATATTGGCAGGGAGGGGGCAGAGTTGGGGCTGGGACTTTGGGGAAGGGGTGGAAAGAGGCAGGGCAGGGGTGGGGCCTCATGGAAGGGGTGGAGTAGGGGCGGGGCCAGGGCAGAGGGGGGTTGAGCACACATGGGAAAGAGGGGAAGTCGGTGCCTATGGTCTAATGTAGTGAATGACAATGAAAATGAGGTAGGAACAGAAGAGGCTAAAATAGGGAAAGAACAAGTTAAATATTACTTGGACAAATTAGATATCTTCAAGTCACTAGGACCTGATGAAATGCATCTTACAAAGGATGAATATAAACAAATAACACAGGTATGTAGGGACAAAATTAGAAAAACCAAGGCACAAAATGAGATCAAACTAGTCAGAGACATAAAGGGTAACAAGAAAACATTCTACAAATACATCAGAAGCAAGAGGAAGACCCAGGAAAGGGTAGACCCTTACTCAACGAGGGGGGAAGAATAATAACAAAAATCTTAGAATACTCAAGGAGCTGACTGAG